TGCCTGTTTTGTTTTTGTTTGGGGGCCACACCCAGCAGTACTCAGGGCTTATTCCTGACTATGCTCAGGGATCACTACTGGCAGGGCTCAGGAGTTCATATGGGGTTACTGGGGATCGAACCTGGATTGGCTGTGTCCTACCTGCTGTACTAATTCTTAGGCCTCTTGGTCTGCCTGTTTCAAGAGCTGTAAGAAGAGACTAAGCTTTGCCCTCGCTAGTCTCTGCCACACTCTATTAGCTCTCTCAGCTTCATGAGCTCCCAGAGTTTTCAATATGTTGCCAACTGTCAAGACCATCTGCCAGGCCAATCCCAGGCTACATGTGCCTTGAAAATCTCAGCTGGGTGTCAACCACCTCCTGGCCCCATCCAGACTCACCTTCTGAGTGAACGATTCTTTTAAAAAAAATTTATAAAGTATTTCACAAATTTGATTACATTTAATAGTCAAACACCAATCCCAGCACCATTACACCTTCCTACCATCATAATTTGGGTGTTTCCATTCCGAATCACAAATCCTGCCCTAAAGCAGAACCGAAATAAAATAGTATTTCTCTCTAAGATCAGTTGCCTCCTACTTTGAATCCCATCAAATGTGGTGCTGTACTCTTAGAGTATGGGAAAGGTGTGTCCTATGAAGTGTCACAGGGTCCAGGAAGAGGTTCACTCATGGGTGAGGCTCGGTCTGAGTGTGTGGAGGGTAAGTGTGTGAAGAGTGGCCATGAGCAGGGTGGTGGTTGAGTTCTGGAAGATTTTGGTTGCTGGCGCTGGGTCCCTTGGGGCAGGGAGGGGGTCTCTCCTGCCCCCCTCTGGGGCACTGAGAGTGAGACAGCCTGGCGAGGGCTCTAGCAGCATGGTAATGGTGAGCTTCATGTTGCTCCCTTCCAGGAGAGGAGTGTGATCTGGAAGGTGGCCGATGACAATTTTATCCGGCATCAGCCAGGGATGGATTACGGGCATGAACCCTGAGTGTTCAGTCACAAAGTCCCACTGACGGAATGCTTCTAACACCCCAAGGGCAGACATGTGTGAACTCAGCCGGGCTGCCCATCTCCTTCACATCTGGTCAGCTGTTCTTTATCGCCCCTGCCCTGGGGAAAGTCCAGTTCTAACCCACTCTCCCCTGCTACAGATTGTCACTGGCTCCCTGTAGAGCATTTGACTACATGGGTGAGGCCCTGGGCACAACCCATACACACACAGAGATATACACAAACACACACACACAGAGATATACACAAACACACACACACCACACACACACACACACACACACACACACACACACACACCTCTTTGGACTGATCCTTCCATGTTCATCCAAACACATCTTAAAACAGTTGAGAGACACATGCTTTCCAAAGCACAGTTCCCAGTCCTCGGAGCCTTTGCTGTGTTATCCATGCTTCGGTGTCACCATATGACTCACCCTTCAAACAGTGTGAGGGCCACCTCCTTCTTGAAGCCGCCCATCAGGCTTCACTGGCTCATGGCAAGGACACTGCTTTTTCACATGTGTTAAATAATTGGTGCCATTTTCTGACCAGAAAGTTCCGTGACTTTGGATGAAAGAAAGGTTTTGCAGTCAAAGATGAGGTTGTGTGGCCTTGAGTGGATACCTTAACCTCTCTGTGCTGGCCTCCTCAGCTGTCACAGTCACGGTCACGGTCATCCTGTTGTTCATCAATTTCCTCAAGCAGGCACCAGTAACCTCTCCTTCGTCCTAGCCCTGAGCTTTTAGAAAGTGCCATATTCAAGGCTCTTTCAGGTCAGGAGAATGAGACCCACCATTGTTACTGGTTTTTGGCATACTGAGTACACCATGGGGAGTTTGCCAGACTCTGCGTGCGGGCAAGATACCCTCGTAGCCTGCCAGGTTCTCCAGAGTACAACTAGATAATAAGATTTGAAACACTACAATGTAACGCTTTTAGGCATACTGGGGAGGATTAAAGTGAGCAAAGGCAGAGAAGAAAGCACCTGGCTCAGAGTAGGGGGCCCACAAAAGCTGGGTTCCTTTCTCCTCTACTGTTTACTTACCTCAACCTCCAGAGTCTCTCTCATGGGCAGGATTAGGGGAACGACCACTCCACGCCCCTTCTGCCCCTGGGTCTCCAACAAGCAGGGGCAGTGGAGGACATACTGGTCTTGCCCGGGTGCTCACGGTCTCCCGTGGGGGCTGGCTGACCCTCCCTGGGCATGGGAACCCAGGTGCTCTTCCTTCTCTGCTTAGAACAGTTCCCCAAACTTATTCAGCTACTGCCCCACTTTCAGAAAAACAAAAACAGAAACGTTCTCATGCCTCCTCAACTCTACCTTAAGTGAAATACATAGGAAGCCCCTTCCCCGCTCCAGGTCTTTCCAGTGCCCCTGGTGGTGTTTGTGGGTAGTGCACACTCTGAGGGGGCCCTGGGTCAGAAACCCTGACCAACTTGGCCTGGGGGTGGGGGGGAGGTGCAGGCAGCCTAGGCCTCCAATCCAGGCCTCCCACATCATCAGCCAGGACCCAGCCACGCAGACACAAGCTCCCTGGAACATGTGGGTACGGCTCACAAACCCCAGACCCAGGGAGGACAGATGACTGCAGCACGCTCCTTAATACTAATCATTTTAATTTAAATTAATAGCATTTCTGGAAGACAAATGCAGTTGATAGAAAATATAAAAACTTTTACTGTACAAATTTTACATCACATTCAGGACAGCAAGTGTGTGCTGTGCGACTACGGAAGATGCTGTGTTTGCCCACGCGCCAGCCCCCCATACCACCCCCTTCACAGGGCTCTCTTGGCCCCACAAGCCCATAGAGAACACCATGTGTTGACCCGAAGGTGACCCCGGGGTGACTCGGCTCCCCGTTGGCTGGGAACTTGTTAGGACCCCAGATCTGAGTTGGATGGAAGCTTGGGGCCGTGGCTCTGGGGGCTGAAGGTGCGGAGGGCACACCCAGGGCTCTGGAAGCTGGGATCTGGGCAGAGAGGGGGTTTCCCCGACCGTCACCAAGGAGCCCTTTCAGCCTACGCCCCCCCCCCCCCCCACACACACACACACAAGGGTGAGCGGCAGGCGCTGTATTCACAGTATGTGCCGGCCTCGGTGCTGCCGCAGGGCACATGAAGGACCAACTTGTCCCCCTTGCCTTTATTCACAGTCACTTGAGCAGCAGAGAGGGCACTGAGCAGGGAAGGCGCTTCAGGTGACTTTCACTCTGGGGGGTCACACCTGCAGGTGCTCAGAGGACCAGGTGGCAAAATGCTCCTGCAGGCCCCTCATGTGTTGCAGGCCCGAGTCTCTCCCAGGCTCCCAAATGCTACCTTCTGAGCGTGTATGTATGTGTGTGTGTGTGTGTTGGGGTGTGTTGCGGGGAGGGACTCCCTGGCACCCAGGGCTTCTCACACACATGCCAGTGTGCTCTGCCTTCTCCAGACGAAAAAGACAGCAGGGCGGGGCCCAGTGGGCAGCGGGAGGTGACCTGGGCCCAGAGGGGACGGGGGTCCTGGCAGAACTTAGGCACGGAGGGCATTGTTCCAGAGGGGCTGTAACTGCTCCATCCCCGGGACGCATGTGCACAAGATACAAAAAGTTGAGTGGCTCATAAAATGCTAAACCTGCATCATGGCCTGGGGCTGAGGGGTTGTTGGGAGGAACCTCCAGCCCTGGACTACCCCCATAGGCTGTGGTTTTGGAAGTGGAGACCTGTATGTGTATTGGGGCGCGACTGGGGAAAGACAGCCTACCATGACCTCCCGAATCCTAGAGCCGACTGCACAGAAGTGGCGGGCATATGGCATGTCTCTGTGGTGCTGGGGTGGGGGGTCTTGGAGGGCTGTGGGGTAAAGGGAATGGGCCCATCTCAGTTGGGAGACTCAAAACCCCAGGGACGCCTGGCTCCCAGGAAGAGTGGTCCGTGTTCTAGACTGTTCTGACATGACTCCAGGGAGCTTCCAGATATACCTGTCCCCCACGGCAGCTGGGAGCGGAGCCGGCTGAGTCCAACTTCACCTCCTGTTCTTCCAGGCACCCTCCATCCTCCCTGGTTCTGGGGCCTGATAGGACAGTGACACTAAGACCTTCTTGCCTGTCTCTCTTCCGGTAGTGGGGAGGGGGCCCGGGCCTCCCATGGGCTGCGAGCCGCACTGGGGCTGAGAACACTTCTCCAGGGGACAGAAGTCTTGTCCACAAAATACCCCAAACCTTTCTCTCCTTCTGGTTCCAATGGATATTAAAAGAGCCCAGCTTGGTGCAAGGGCAAACTCTGAAGATCTGGGGGTTTTCAGCTCAGCTCAGGGCTCTGGGTGATTGGCTCCCTGTGGTTGACATGGGCAGGGCCCCCTGCATGTGGGTGGCGGGGGGGACGAGGGCTTTGCTGTCCACCAAACCTTCCAGGGAGAGGGCTGGGCCTCAGTTCTGGGGACACATGCCAGGGCCTGTTTGCGTCTCTGGTGCTTTTCTGAGGCCACGTGAAATGCCTCTTCCTGCAGCAGGTCCCACCCAGGCCCCCACATCAGTCCTCATATTACCAGTTCTGTCTCAACCTTTCCTGCAGGTTCAAGCTGGGTGGAGTGAGGGAAACCAAGTTCTCGGGGAACTCCTCACCCCCAATCTAGTTGGGTTCCAGGATCAGGGCACCCTGGCCCTGATGGAGGAAGGGACAAGTCATGGGATGGACTAAGGGAGAATCCTGCTGGGCAAGGTGCCCCATTGATGGGGTGTCTGGAGCTGAGACGGCCAGATCCCGTGGGCGTCCCTGTGATTCCAAGACAAAAACGCCTTCACGAGGCATTCTTTCCTTCCTCAGGGGGACCCTCATGGCCCCCTCACTTCCCCCAAGCCCTGCAGGGCCCAGAGGGCTCGTCTGCCAGGACATTCGTGTAAACGCTGGCCACCTGTTGGCACAGGCGCACGCCTGGCACGCAGGGGTGGCACCGCCAGTTCAGGGGTGTCCACTGAGGAGTCAGAGAGGATGGTGCAGAGGGTGGTGCCCTGCGGTCATCTCGGTGGGTGTTTTACAAATACAGTTAGGGGGAATAGGAGCTGGAAGTGGCACTGCCCGGCTGGCTACATCTTTGGGTTGGCGGACTCCAGGATACCCAGGCCAAACCTTTCAAAGCGGGGCGCCACCTTGCTGCTGCTCATGCTGCAAAGAGGAACAGAAACAAGAGTTACACACCTGCAGGGTGCCCTCTGCTATTGGACAGCATTCGCTAGGAAGCGGGGCTGCCCGCTGAAGCGCAGAGGACCCAAGCCCCAGCAAGCGAGAAGGGCTGACCAGTCAAGCGGCCTCGGCCCGGCCCAGCATCCAGACCCTCTGGAACTACTCGAGCCTTCCGGGGGAGCTGTGTGCCTCCCGCTGCCTGAACCCAGGCTGGTTCTGTGTGGCTGGGGGAGAGGCATGGGCCCCAAAATCGAGCGGAAGTGCCAGTCTCCTTTGCGAAATGTTTCTCAGAGGAAAGAAAGCCTGGGGGTGGGGTGGTGGTGGGGGGGGGGGAAATAATCTGAGAAGTGGGCTGATGTATGGGACAACCCGAGCCTGCTTCCAGAAGTCTGGGTGTGGGCCTGGGGTGGCCAGGGTCCCCATGGGCTGCCCCATTGGCTGGGGATTGTCGGGAACCACTGGGGTCAGGTTTGCTCTGGCTGCCCAGGTCAGAAGAGTCAGAAGGCGCCTTTGAGTAGCGGAAGAGGCGGGAGCTGGGCTCCTATTGGTGAAACTGGAAACAGGTCATCCTCTGCAGGTGAACCGCGGGGGCCCAGCCCACAGGCCCAATGCTGGAATCTTTCAGGGCCACAAGATGGACCGTGCCCGGCAGGAGAGGGCTGGCTCCAGGCAGTCGTGAAATCATTCCACTCCTCGCTGGATAAGATGCAGGTGGGCTCCCGGCCACACCAAACCCCTCCCACATCCCGTGGACGACGCCGAGGCTGGAGGCCGCCGTGCTCAGGTCAGCGGGTTGAATCTCCCAGAAGGTTAGTAAGGAGTCAGTAAGGAACACACATCAGAACACCCCGCAGAAGCCGAGTCCCCGCAAGGTCAGTCTTGCCAGGGTGGCGATCAGCTCTGCGTGCAGAAGGGTCAGTGACTCTGGCACACGCAGGCCAGCACGCGCGGGGAAAGGGACAGTGGTAAGAACAAAGCGAGAGAAGGAGTCTTGGGGGAAAAGGCTGGAGCAGCAGCGCCCGACGCCCTGGTTAGTGCCCGCGTCTCAGCGTGTGTCTGAGCAGCAGTGGCCGCACTGGGTGGTCGATTAGGAGGAAGGAAGCCCCCGGACATGCAAGGCAGCCAGGCTACAACCTAGGGAGAGAGAAGAGAGGGGCTGTGTCAGAGCCGCCGTCCCTGCCGCAGACACACAAAGGGACATCATGCGGCATTCGGGCCCCCAGGAGTCCGGCACAGAGAGCCTGAGCCCAGCAGCCTCGAGACTGTGGGAGAAGGTTCTGCAGAGCTGGCCAGCAGGCGCGCTGCCCCTCAGCCCCACCAGCTCTGGCTACCATCTGGGTTCCAGGCTGGCCATATCCAGAGCTGAGCGTGAGAAAGACAGGCCCGCCTGCCCCTGGCTGGTGGTCCCTTCAGCTGCGAGAAGGTCCCTTTGGTCCACTGGGATGGACACACACACACACACACACACACACACACACACACACACACACAGGGAGGAGGAAGTGAGGGGAGCGGGCAGAGCGCAGGGGTGGAACCAGGACACACTATTCTTCCAGAACAGGGCGGGTGTTCTTAAAGTCGGGGTGGCCAGGGCGTCCTTTCCCGTAGTAGCGGCTCCGCCAACGACTGGGAGTGGCCGCGACGTTTCACCCCAAGGGGCCGAGCGTGGCAGAGGCGTCCCCAGGTGCAGGCGTCAGGGCCCAGTGTGGACGGGTGGAAGGGCAGGAGAGAGACAGGACAGACACCCGCCACCCCCACCCCCGGAAACACAGACGCAACAAAACAGATGGGAAAGAAAAGAGAAAAGGAGAATTAGAGACGCATGCATGGAAGAAATGGCGCTTGGCCACTGCCTCCCCCAGGCCGCCTGCCGTCTCCCGCTAGAGGGCGGGAGGGGAGAAAGACCCAACACACACCTGGGACTCAGTTTCCCACCAGAGACTGAGGGGACCGGTAGTGCAGTCCTTAGGGACTCCGGAGTCACCTGCTTGCTGGTTCACATTTGGCACCTCCCTTTTCTGAGTGAGAAAACTAGAGCCCGGCTGGGGAACAAAGCTGCCGGAGGCCAGGAAACCAGAACTTTGAACTTTGTGTCAGGCCAGGAGAAGCGAGGGTCTCCTACTGGAAACCCTCCGAGACGTTCCCCTGAGACCCTCCTGAGTCCCCTCCCCCAGCTCCCTGGGCAGGCAGAGGGTGCTGGCCCACATAGCGCTGAAGCCGGGCTTCCTGGGCCCCGCTGAGGGGCTGCCCCAGTCTGGGAACACATCAGCCCCGCAGCGGCTCCATCTATGAGACTGCGAACTTCTTGCTGGTAGTGGCCTGGTCTTGACCTTCTGTGTCCCCTGGGGAGGAGCGGGTACTTTTAAATTCTTAAATCTAACTTAGTGGCTGGGTAACCTTCTCTCTGAATAAACCCTGACCCATCTACTTGGGTGTGGGGAGTAGGGGGCAATCCTGGCATTGCTCAGGACACCGTATGTGGTGCCAGGGTTCAGCTGCGTGCGAGGCAAGTGCCCTAAACCCTGGCTCTGTCCCGCTGGCCTGCACCCTGTCCTACCTGGAAGCTAGATACGGAATCTCACGTTCTTGGCCCTCCCACACTACAAACTGTCATTCCCCTGGCAAGTGCCCACACTGGCTGGGGGCTGCAGAGTGGACCCTTTGCTCATCTGGTCCCACTTGTATGCTCTGTCCAGGCAGCCCGTGTAGGGGCCCTCAGTGTCAACAGCTTGTGGGGGCTAGTTTACATTTAAGACTTTAAAGTGTTGGCAAACTAGGTGTCAGCCCAATCCGGCCACAAAGAGGCTTTGACGATTCTGAAGAGCTAAAAAAAGAAAACAAGCAACCTCTCTCCAGCAAAACCCCCCTCCCACAAAAAAAAAAAAAAAACCCAAAAAACAAACAAACAAAAAAAAACCACTGCAAAGAATGTGTGAGGGGAGCACAGGCGGCTCCAGCAGGGTACATGCAGACCAGGGGGCTGCTGTGACCGCCCACCCAGGCAGCAGGAGCGGCTTCTGCAGGGGCTCAGGAAAGTGGGTCCAGGTGCCCCTGGCAAGGCAGGGCTACCTTGGCAGAGGGACACGTGGGCTCTGCTGCCAGAGGGGAGATGCTTTGGGGCTCTATGTGAGGGTCCATGTTAAGAGAGCAGCCCTTTACCTTCGATGATTTAAAACCCATCCATCCTGCCAGGGGCTCAGCCATATACGGGCCGCCACCGTTTGTGGGGTACAGTCCCCAGATTAAGAATGCCAATGTCAGCTGGAGGCTACATCTGCCTCTGAGGGTTGGGGAGGGGGGAAGAACGCTGCTTTTGTTTTGGATTTCTGGGGGGGAACCCATGCCCGGCAGTGCTCTGGGGCTACTCCCTGAGCAGAGCATAGGAAACCACGTGGTGCCGAGGACCAAACCTGAGTCTTCTGCACACAAAGCCTGTTGCCGGCTCTTCCCCTGGCCCCCAAAATGGCTTTACTTTTTAATTTCTAGAAGTTTTTTATTTTTTGGTTTTAGGGGACACACCTGGCACTGCTCAGGGCTTACTCCTGGCTCTGTATTCAGGGACCACTCCTGGCGGGCTCAGGGGACCATATGGGGTGCTGAGATCAAACCTGGTTGGGCATAATCGAAACCCAAGCACAAAAAATTGTAAATCTACAACTGTACCTCATGGTGTTTCACTAAAAATTAAAAAAAAAAAAAAAAAAAAATAATGATGGTTAAAAACCTGGTTGGGCTACGGATAAGGCAAGCACCCTACCCACTGTACTATTTTTCCAGGCCCTAATTTCTAGAAGTATGGTGTTTTTTTTTTTTTGTTTTGTTTTTGAGCCACACCCAGGGGTGCTCAGGCTCTCCTCCTGGCCTAGTGCTCAGGGGCTGTTCCCACTGTTGCTCAGGGGCCCACGTGGCACTGGGTTTGAGCTGGGGTCTCCCACGTGCAAAGCACTTCCAGCAGCCCTCTGAGCCCAATCCTGGTCCGGGAGGGCTATGTCGTAGTGGAGTGGCCTGGCAGCAAAGGAAATGGGGACAAGACAGAAAGTAGACAGTGAGGGTCCACAGCCCCGAGGAAACCAGCTTGCACAGCAGGGACAGAGGACGTGTTTGAACAGAGTTGGGGTGTGCTCTGAGCTGCCGAGCACTCCGGGACCCTGGCAGGGGCTCTCCGTGAGGTGCTGTTTGGGGGCGAGAAAGCTCCACCTTGCGTCTATGCCACTGTCAACAATTCATGGGGACTCTAGCTTCCCACTCACTGCCCCTCCCCCCACCAGCCCCACACAGGCAGAAGCTTCTCGGGCGGGCATGGCAGGTGAGATGGAGGCTTTCGGGGAGCAGAGAGAAATGTTGCCATGTCGCATGCGATGATCGAGAAGTCCCAGCCTTGCTCAGGGGCAGCAGTGAGCAGCAGTCCCCGAGACCATATCCAGCTGAGAAGCTGGGGCCACACAGCCCACAGTGTCCTGTGAGGGACCCCGTGAGACCGGCCTGTAGGTCTGGCTCTCATACGGGACTTACTCAGCAGACTTCCAGAAGTGGCCTGGGTGGGACAGTCGCCGGTTCAGCTTGGGCAGCTTCTCCAGCATGTCCATGAGCATGGTGAAGCTGGGCCGCTCCTGCAGCTCAAACGCCCAGCAGGCAGACAGGATCTCCTGCAAAGGAGCCGGCATCAGTGGAGGGCCGGAGGCAGGGAGGGGCAGGGTCCCCAAGAGGCCGGCAAGCACGGCCCACTCCCCCTGCCGGGCTCTCCCGCTTCTTCTCCCGACACTTCACAATTGGTGCAGAAATGACTGATTTTCACAAGCATCTCAGGGATGCTTTATTTTGTTTGGGAGAGACTACACCTGCGGTGCTCAGGGACTACTCCTAGTGATGCTTGAGGGACCGTGTGGTGCTGGTGCACAGCACAGGATCCAGCCCTTAGAACCACCCGCAAAGCACAGGCTCCTACCCTAGAACTATCTTTCTGGCCTGACACCACTGCTTTAGACCTCGTTTGCATTTTATCAGAAGGTAAGTAAGAAACAGGAAGATCTGAGAGAGAAGAAATCATGCCACGGATCCAGGATTTAATGAAACAGAAGCAAAAAAACAAGTCACAGGATGACAACTCTGTAGGACTGAAATTTAACCCATGGAAGTGTAAGAAGAAAATAAAAATTAAAAAAAAAATAAAAAAAGAGGGAGGGGACAGATTTCTTTGGATGAGGAGAGGGAAACTAATTGCTACAAGTCTCAGGAATAAGGGTATGCCTGCCCGGAGGGGAAAGGGTGTTGCCCCCTTCGCCCTCTCCTCTCTGGAAAGAAAGATGGCGGCCGCATGGGAGCTTTGTGGACAGCAGGTATGAGCCGGGGGTCAGGGGCGACAAAAACCTCATGGGAAGGGGGGCGTTCCGGCCCGTCCTTCACGCCCTACCGAGGTCACCAGTTGCCCCCCACGAGCGGCTCTCCGGCACGGCCACGACTCCAGAGCACAGAAACCAATCTCTTAATTATCTAACTTTTAGTAGAAAGACTTCCAGGGTTAATAAGTAAAATAGCAGAAATCCAAAACTGCGTGGCCGCTATTGCGGCTGTGCGACAACGTTTAATTCCTGAACCCAGCTGTAGAAAGCAAATCATTTCACAACACTTTTTCAGCATGTCTGATTTGGGGGTGTAAACTCTAAATAATAATGGTGCATCTTTTATCAAAATAATGAATCTAGTCAAAGTAGATAGAGTGTTAACTAGAACTCATCTGCCTCACAGGAAATTGGGAGGGGTGGGAGGTGGGGTTCTATTGGGGTTCGTGGTAAAAAATAAGTATTGGTAAAGGGAAATGTGTTTGATATTTTCATGACTGAGACCTAAACCTGAAAGCTCTGTAACTTTTCCCACAGTTATTCAATAAATAAATAAATTATATTAAAAAAAAGGAATAAGGGTAAGCGGATGGGAACAAAGGTCAGAGTGAGGAGAAGGGCTCGCTGGGTACCGTCAGGCACCTCCTTTCTGGAGAGTCAGCACCAGCAGGGAGAGCCGGAGGGAGAGGCTGTGGGTCCAGCTTTATCTCCGCTCTTTGTCCCAGAGGAAATATCCCCTGAGAGGAACCAGTGTTGGAGACCTCTGTTCCCTTTGTCCTGCAGTGCAGCAACCAATAAACTAAACGTATGCCCCGCTTAGATAAGCATAGATTGTCAAAGGTCTCTATAATGCCTTCTTTGTTCTGCTGAAGGTGATTTGTTTAGGCAAAAAAATACATTAGGTGATCGAGAGTCTCAGTCCACCGGCTGTGAGTCCCCTGACGCGGGGCTGGTCCCTGTCAGTAAGGGCCAGAGAGAGGAAACGCAAAGAGGGTGAGGCACACTTGTCCTGCATGCCGCCAACCTTAATTCAGTCCCTGACACTGACATAGGGTGCCCCCAGCTCCACCAGGAGTGATTCCTGAGTACAGAGTCAGGATAAAGCCAGTGTGGACTTCCAAAACCTAAAAGATAAATAAAATGAAATAAAACTCCTTACTATGAGGAAGGAAGAAAGAAAGGAGTTGGAGAAACAGAATCCAGCACGTTTCTGACCTGGGTTTGATCCTCAGCATCCCATCTGATCCCCCAAGCCTGCCAGGAGTGATTCCTGAGTGCAGAGCCAGGAGTAACCTCTGAGTGTTGACACCTGTGGCGCCCCCCCCCCCAAAAAAAAAAAAACCAAAAAACAGGGAGAAAGGGAGGGAGGAAAGGAGGGAAAGAGGAGGCAGGCAGGCAGGCAGGTAGGAAGCAAGCAAGCAGGCTAAGGTGCTTCAATCAATAACACAAAAAGGTAATTACAAAGTACAGGGGAAAAAAAAACTGCACATGAAAGCCAAGGTCTAAATGTGAAGCCCAGAAAATAGATGCAGAGGGAAAAATGCAGGGGTAAAGAGAAGAACTACAGGAAGGAGACGGAATTCTAGCAGATAGCACCTCAGCAGCAGAAATGAATGCACTGAGGCCAGAATCCCACAGGACATCCTGAGGATCAGTCTCCTCAGCCCTTGGGCCCTGGAGAAGCCTGAAGCAAGGCGACAGGAACAGACAGAGCTGATAAATAGAGCAAGCAGGAAGGAGTGCCTGGAAGGAGGAGCGGGCATCTGGGGAGCCCGGTGGGCTGAGGCAGGCTGCTCCCCTGAAGAACGGGGGCCCTTGGCCAACCTCCTGGGAACAGTCACTCGGTGGCTGTCTCAGCAGAGCCTTGCCCAAGCAAGCGGTGACTCAGAGAGGTGACACTCAGAGGCCACACCCCTCTTTTCACAACGAGGCACTTTCTTTTCTTTTGCTACAGATCAAGAGATCAGTACCTGCCCTCCATCAGACAAGAATTTCTTTTTAGGTGGAAGCACACCAAAAACCGAAACAAAACCAAATAAGCAACAAGTGAGGGCAGAGCAGCTCGGCCCACTTGCCCTCTGCCCCTGCTTGGCCCTCCCCTAACCCTCAGCCACTGGGCAAAGGCTGCTGGGGCTGGAGACGGCGAGAAGACATCCCTGAGTTCAGAATTCCAGCTGGGTGCTAGAATTACCTGAGGACCTCTACAGAACAATGAAAACAGGAGGCCTGGGGGTGGGCTACCTGGATGAAGGGGTCCAAAGGAACAAAGTCAGAAAAAAATTTTTAAAAATTAATTAATTAAATAGGGGGCAGGAGCGATAGCACAGCAGGTAGGGCTTGGCCTTGCCGACTCTGGTTCGATTCCCAGCATCCCATACGGTCCCCTGAGCATCTCCAGGGATAATTCCTGAGTGCAGAGTCAGGAGTAACCCCTGTGCATCGCCGGGTGTGACCCAAAAAGCAAATAAATAAATAAATAAAAGGAACAAAGTCCCAGCTATGAAACACACACCCCCAGGGGCCAGCGCTGCTACCAGGGGGCTCTGTGGCTGAGTGGCCAAGAGAAGTGTCTGTCCTCTTTTCATTTATTTATTTCATTTATTTTTGTTTGCTTGGGGGCCACACCCCAGGATGCCCAAAGCGTATTTCATTCAATCCTGGCACAACGTATAGTGCCCCTGCACCTCTGAGCACCACTAGGAGTGAATCCTGAGCGACGAGCCAGGGGTGAGACCCTGAGCACTGCCAAACCAGAAGGGTCGGGGAAGCACTGAGTAACAGCTAGGTCAGCAATTGCCTTATGAGTTGGGATTCTGCAAAAAAAATTTTTTTGCTGTGGAAACTTCGATTCTTTTCCAAACATTCCAGAAACCCATGATGGAGAAGGCCTGACCCTGCTTGTATTCGCTGTAAACTGTCGTCTGTTTCTTCCAGTAATTTTTTTTTTTTTCAGATTTTTTCCCCCTGAGACTTGCATGCATACCACATTCCTACTTTACTCCCTCTGCCAGGGAGCCTGCTCCCTTCCACCGCTGCCTCAGAGTCCCCTCCACCTGCCCTCCTCCCTTAAAGATGCTTTCGCAAAAGCAAGAACGTGAACAGTGGGTGGGTGGGAATGGACACGGGCCTTGCAGGGGCCTCTGCTGTTCCCTATCCCACGCCCTGCTCAGGTGAGTGATGGAGGGCAAGCACCGCCCCCCCCCCCCCCACACACAGCGGGGGCTACTCACGGTGACTTCCTTTCCCAGGCTGACGGAGGCCAGCACGCGCTTCATTCCCTCGCCGCTTCCAATCTGCCAGATCAGGGCCTCTGCCGGCTGGACCTTGAAAGGCCAGTCTCTCGCCTGCAGCTCATACCAAACGGTCCTGCGGAGAACGTGCGTGGGCATCGTCTCCCGCACCCTGGACCGCTCCGCTCAGCTCAAGCCAGCCGGAGGAGCCAGGACCACTACTCCTGCCCTCAGGGGCATATGCCTGGATGACAAATCCAGGGCCACCCTGGCTGTGAACAGAGTCTGGAGGCAACTCTAACTCGGGCCTGAGGCTCTGGGAGCCCTTAGCCACATGGCCCGGGGGCCGGGGAGTCAAGGGTGCTGATGAGAAACCCCAGGTTGTCTGGACCAGAGAGATAGGACAGCGGGTATGGTGTCTGCCTGGCAAGCGGCCAAGCCGGGTTCAATCCCTGGCATCCCATATGACCCCCCAAGCACCACCAGGAGTGATTCCTGAAGCATCACTGGGGGTGACCTCCCCCCCCCCACACACACTGCTAAACAAGATTACCCAAATGCATAAACGTCAGCAGCTTTGGAGAAGGGCAGCTGGTCCTCGTCCTTCCCAGGGGTCATCTCCCGCACAATCTCGGGGGCCAGGTAGCACAGCCAGTCGTGGGACAGCTTCAGCTGGTTCTCTCGCCTGCAGCAAGCAGCCGGAATGAGGCTCACAGCCCAAGGCCCGCTGGCACCAGCACCTCTGGGACGTGCATGTGGGTCTGGCCAGGGCACGGTGCGCAGGGAACATCAGGGGGCAGGAGAACAGGTCCCGGAGCTGCACTGGGGGAGCCCCACAGCCTCAGAGAACAGAGTCCGGTGGCCACACGTGGGAGACTAGCCACGGGTAGGGAGTGGGTGAGAGGAGAGAGGCCTCAGCCTCCTGGGTCCTCCAACACTGGGGGAGGAGCCTTTCTCCCTCTACCCTCTGCCTGGTTTGGGGAGACAAAGCCCAACACTCTTCCTCTCCCGGGGAAGTGAGCCCGGGTCCCCCAGCCCTGTCAGAGGGCAGAGGATACGCGTGGGGCGGGGTGCGGTGGGGGAGCCCACTCCCAAACTGAGTGCAAGGAGGAACCCAAAGGGCTGGGCCCAGTGGACCTGGCGGGGTGACCAGTCTGCAGGAGGGCCCGGTCCTGGCCACCTAGGGCTGCCCACCAGGCCGGATGTCCAAGGCCGACTCACCGGCCCTCACGAACCACACCCGACATCCCGAACAGCCCGAAGTCTGTGATGACCACTTTGCCATTGTCGTAGAAGACGTTCTTGGACTTGAGGTCCTTGTGCACGATGCCCTTGGCGTGCAGGTAACCCATACCCTGCCGAGAGAGCGCAGGTCAGTGGGAGCAGGAGGGGGCGAGGGCGGCACCGCTCGAACCCCCTGCACCCTCCCCAGCCTCGGTTTCCATCTGACAAAGCCACGCCTCAGAGAGGGGAAGGCCCTGGCCCTGGCCCCGGCCCCTGGGCAGCCAGGGTCATCGTTGACCTAACCTGACTGAGCCTGCTCTCTTCATCTTAAACCTAAGGCAGGGGTGAGGCTGCCAGATGCTTGCATATGCTTACATATGTGCTCTGGGGCAATAGTTACCAGGGGTTGCTGTTGTGTGAGCATGTGCTTACAGTCTTGGATGTATGCCAGGAGTCCTAGAGCCTGCCTTAAGTGTCTGCACGTGTGTGTGTGCGTGCATGTGCATGTGTGTAGTACCAAGTATAGGATTCATGGCCTCATGTTTGCAAGGCAGCAGCAGCTTTTAGACCCCAGACCCCTCCATCTGTTAGTTTTTTGGGGGGAATAGGGGTGGGGGCACACCTGGCTATACTCAAGAATTATTTCTGGCAGTGCTTGTGGGACCATATGGGATGCTGGAGATATAATCCTGGTTGGGTGCATGTAAGGCAAGTGCCCTCCCCACTGGACTAGGGCTCGGGCCCCCAAACGTTAGTTTTTAAAACGTGTCCATTGTTCTCCATGGAGGCTGCACTCACTGACATTCTCACCAACACACCAGGGCATCTTTCTCTACACACCCTCCTAATACTTATTTTTTGATTTTCGGACATTTCAAAGGTGTGAAGTGACAACTCATTGTTGCTGCTATTTTAATGGCTCTGATCATCAGTGATGATGAGCATTTGTTAGGAGTCTGAGTGACATCTGAGAGATGCTTTGGAGAAATACCTTCTTCTTCTTCTTCTTCTTCTTATTATTATTATTATTATTTATTATTATTTTGGTGGGAGAGGAGTAAGCCCAGCAATACCCAGGACTTACTCCTAGATCTGTGCTCAGGGGTAACTCCTGGCTGAGCTAAGGAGACTAGGAATGGTGCCAAGGATGGAACATGGGTTGACCACAGGCAAGGCAAGCATCTGAACCCCTGTACTAACTTTCCGGATTGCGTCCATTATTTTGTGTCCATTAATTACATCTGGTGATGCTGTCCCCACTGGGGGACCGTGCAGAGACAGGAATCAAACCCGCTCCTTCTGCGAGCAAACCATGCACTCACCCACTGCCTCTTCTCACTGCACCTCGTCCCATTCTGGATGAGTTTACTATTATTTTTGCCTGCTGTGAGATCTGGGCTGGAGCGATAGCACAGCGGTAGGGCATTTGCCTTGCGTGCAGCCAGCCCGGCTGACCTGGGTTTGATTCCTCCACCCCTCTCGGAGAGCCCGCCTGCACGACATAGCCTGGCAAGCTACCCGTGACGTATTTAATATGCCAATCACATTGAAACAAGTCTCAAAATGGAGACGTTATTGGGCCCGCTCGAGCAAATCGATGAACAACGGGAGGACAGTGACATGACAGCTGTCAGATCTGATATAATTTGAATGTTAACCTCTTATTGGACCTATGACATGCCAATATCTACTCCTGGTCAACTCTGTGTGTGTGTGTGTGTGTGTGTGTGTGTGTGTGTGTGTGGTGTATACGTGCATGCACGCATGTGCGCACACACACATGTGGGGAATGAACCCAGGGCCTCACACATGTAAGCATGCATTCTATCACCGAGCCACATGCCAACCCCCAGCTAGTTGTTTTTGGTGCTGGTTTCTTTCAGGGCACAAAAGCTTTTAGCCTGACATGAGTCCATTTGCTTCTTCCAGCTTTGTTTCCCTTGCATTGGCATCGGCACCTCCCCGCACCCCTCCCTCATTAAGAAGGAGCTCAACCCCTGCTTTCTTCCTCAGCTCTTGTTTCGGGTTGGATCTCATATTCAGGTCCTTCTGGATTCGAATCGCCATTTTTTAAATGGAAACTTGAAGGGGAAAAGTCTGGGTGATTCCAGGGCACTCGACTCTGACTCTCCCAAGGGCTGGCTCTCTCCTAATCGCCCCATTCTCCAGGAAGGTTGCTACACCGCTTTCCCTGATTCACAGGGGGGAAAGGCACGGCTCAGACAGGCCAAACAACCTGCCGAAATCACAGAGCCAGAGTGACCAGGATTCAGTCCTGACCCTCAGACCTTACAGATCACTGAGTTCCTTCCTCACCGACGCAGCTCTGGCCACGGATGCAGCACTGCTCACTCCAGCTCTCAGAGTACACGACAGATCGAGGCAGGAGGGGAGACAGTGCAGCAACCCCCCACTCCCCCGATACAGGTCAGCAGAGCCGGGACACCCCTTTACCTTGATGATCTCCTGGGCGATCTGCCGGGTCTTGTTGATGTCCAGAGACGTCTTGGGGTCCCTCACGAATGAGTGCAAAGTCCGCCCCTTGCAGAAGCTGTTGAAAGTGTTGGGGTCAGGTAGGTTGGGGCCACGGCAGCCAGAGCCTGCCTGGTGGACCCTGGGAGAAGTTGGGGCGGGAGTGCTGTGTTTGAAGCCTCCGAGGGCCTCCGGCCCCTCATGCAAGCACTAGGAGATCCTGAAGGGTCCCGCAGTGACGGCCTGACCGGGCAGCTTTCTCATCACGAGAGACGTTTCTTTCTTTGTTGCTGTTTTATTTGTTTTTGGGCCACACCTGGCTCTGCGCAGGACCTACTCCTGGCTCTGTTCAGGGATCACTCCTGGCAGGGCTCAGAAGGCTACATGGGGTGCCAGGGATCAAACCCAGGCTGCAAGGCAAGCAATCTTCCCCACAGTACTACAGGTTGGGCCCGTCGTAGGGAATTTTATCCAATACCAGAGGGACAGGGCAGCTCTCAGGGGCTTGAGTTTTAGGGTCTCCCTTGCTCAAAGCCTAGAGACTGAGGGAACCAGAGAGAATATGGGGTTCATTCTACGGGAGGAGTGGACTCTTCCATGTGGAGGAAACGGCTTGTCCTAAGGAATGTTTCCAAGGAGCTGATGTTGGCATTTCTGCAGAAGGGACCTGGCACAGGGGTCCCTCTATTGCATTTCGGCCCCTCAGCCCCTTCTCAAACATGGGAAATGTGTGGGTGAGGGAAGCCTGCTGGGTGCCTTTATGCACTCTCTCCTGCAATTAATCAATCAATCTCTCTCTCTCTCTGATTTTCCTCGTTAAGTAATAAACATTTTCTGGGGCTGGAGCAATAGCACAGTGGGTGGTGCATTTCCCTTGCACACGGCTGACCCAGGTTCTATTCCCAGCATCCCATATGGTCCTCTGAGCACCGCCAGGGGTGATTCCTGAGTGCAGAGCCAGGAGTAACCCCTGTAACCCCTGTAATCGCCGGGTGTAACCCAAAAAGCAAAAAAAAAAAAAGTAATAAACATTTCCCGAGAATTCTTGGGCTGGTGGTTATTGTCCCCCAGCCAGCTTGAGGGAGATGAAGAGAAGTCACACACTGTCCCCACACTCATAGCTGACATGGGGAGAGGAGGCAGAATGTCATCCCCCAGATATGGGTCAGTCCTTGTTCAGTCATCCTTCTTTGGGGGCAGGGGCAGGGGTCCTGTCACCTGTCCCTGAGGTAGGATGGGGCTGTGACCCCTTGCTGGTTCCTCAGAGACTGGTGTGTGTTTGGGAGGGGGAAGCAGGTCCACCTGCCCACCTGCTCTCTGGGCAGACTCAGGTCTCCTAGGGAAGGCAGGGCGTGAGGTGAGGAGGGGGCTGGATGAATAGGACTGGGGCCAAGCAAGGGGTCAGAGCTGTCAGGCCCCTCAGTGGCAGCTCGTTGGGTCCCCAGGGTGTGGAGGGACCTGCTAACCCACATTTTGTGGGTTGCCACTGTTTCTCCCAGACAGATAGAAGTGAGTCTTCTGGCGGGTGTAGGGGTTTGTGGGCACAACTAGCAGTGATCAGGGGTTCTTCCTGGCCTTGCTCTTAGGAATCACTCCTGGCAGTGCTCAGGGGACAATTTGGGGTTAAACCCGGGTCAGTCGTGTGCAAGGCAGACACCTCACCTGCTGTGCTATCTCTCCAGCCACAGAAATGAATCTACCCCAGGGACCAGCAGCTCAGGCTAGGGGCACTGCATGGCTTCGCCTTCCCTAGGAGACCCGAGTTTGCTCCAGGGAGCAGGTGGGCAGGTGGACCTGCTTTCCCGCCCCCCCCCCAAACACACACCAGTCTCTGAGGAACCAGCAAGGGGTCACAGCACCATCCTACCTCGGGGGCAGGTGACCTGCAGTGACAAAGTACGCACCACTGCGAGCTGCCCTGCGTGTCTTCATAAACAGATATGCAGACCAGAACATAAAGTGATGGGAGAGACAGTGCTCTGTGGCGCCCACCTCGCTCCCATCACCTCACGCCACACTTCCCAATCTTCACTGCGCACACCCAGCCCCTTTGATTACACGGGGGCCAGAAATGTTTCCATTTCATGGTCTCTGGACAAACGGACTCTTGGACCGGGGCGAGAAAACGGCTTGCCGTGGAGCAGCAGTGGACACTGTGCATCCTGGTGCGGACTGACCCTCCTTGGCATGGAGGGCAGTCGCCATGAAGCACCCAGGGGTGGCCAGGGACGGGGCCACACACCTGCTTTCAGTCACGCCAATGTTGGCAGCTGGAACCTCCCATGGGGGAGCACTGACACCCCATGTACCAGATGTACCAGCCAGGGCTTCTGCCACCATCAAGAGGTCCAACATTGTGCAGGGGTGAAAGTAGGAAAGGGAGGGCCGGGGTATAGCTCAGCCGGGGAGTGTGAGTCCTCCGGCTTGATCCCTAGCATCACAAAAACACAGTGAACAGGAAAGACCTCAGCCCCGACTGCTTCAGCCAAGCAGCAAGGTACGCACCACTGAGAGCTGCCCTGCACGTCTTCATAAACAGATACGCAGACCAGATCGTAAAGGGATGGGGGAGACAGTGCAGCAGGAAAGGCACTTGCCTTGCACTTGGCCAACCTGGGTTCCATCTTTGGCACTCCAGGTGGTACCCAGAACCAGGTTCCTGAGCTAGGAGTTCGGCCTGAGCACTGCTGAGTGGGTGTGCCCCCCACCAACAAAACACAACAGAAAGGAATACATTAATAAATGCAAACTTCTTTATTAATTTTGTTTATCTTTAGTGTGGGGGCTGCACCCAGCAGTGCTCAGGGCCTACTCCTAGCAGGGCTCGGGAGACCATCTGGGGTGCCAGTGTGCAAACCTAGCTTGGCCACCCGTAAGCAAGCACCCTGCCCACTGCTGCATCTCTCCAGCCACTTCATTAACTTCCCCATCACTGGGTAACTGACCACGGGACCCATGGCCTCATGCTTGCCCCACGCACTACCAGAGTGACAGAGTCACACTGCAGGCCCCAGATGTCTTTAATGAGAAAGCAATGAGACGAACTGCAGAGGGTGGTATCTGCCTTTGAGGACAGATGCCCAGCTGGGTGGGAGAGGTGGGTTTTTTCTTTTTTTTTTCTTGTTTTTTTTTTTTTTTTTGGCTTTTTGGGTTACACCCAGCAATGCTCAGGGGTTACTCCTGGTACTGCCCTCTGGAATCACTCTTGGCGGTGCTTGGGTGGCATAAAAGGTGCCAGAGACCCCAACCCAGGTTGGCTGTCTGCAAGGCATACCCTCCCCACTGTACTATCGCTCTGGTCCCAGGTTTTCACATTATTTTTTTTTTTATCTCATTTGACTGTTTCTATTTCATGTCAGTGGGACTCTATGTGGGAACAACAGGTCATTTCTGGCTTTCCCCTTGGCACTCTCTGTGTGACAATGGCCATACCCGTGGAGGCCTCCCCGCCCATGGTGGGCAGGTGAGGTGCGCGGATTACCTGGTGATGATAGCCAGGTGCGGTGGATTCATGCAGGCACCCATGAAGAGCACCACGTTCTCGTGCCGCGTCTGCCGGTAGTTCATCACCTCCTTCTTGAACAGCTTCAAGTGGTCCTGGTTGTGGCCGTCCATCTCCAGCAGGCGGATGGCCACCTCGCCGTGCCAGCGGCCGCGGTGCACCCGGCCCCAGCGGCCCTGCCCAATGGGCTCACCCAGCTCCACCTGCTCGAAGGGAATGTCCCACTCCTGCAGGTACACGCTGGTCTGGCTGGCCTTGCGGGAGATGGGGCCGCGCCAGGCTCGCCGGGAGCTGGGCAGGTCGTCCACCTCGTCCTCGTCATCCTCAGCCTCCGACTTGCCCATCTCGGGCTCCTCGTCAGGCTGTAGGGAGAGGTAGGGAGGTTCCTTGACCAACATGTTCAGCATCGCTCAAGGATCAGGCGCTGGGGACTGGGGGGGGGGGGGAGGGGGGGGCAGGTCTGGACGGGGCAAAGAGCATCTGGGCTCAGGCCCAGGCAGGAGGGAGGGAGGGAGGGCGGCATGAGTTAGCTGTGCCCCAGGAGTTGCTTGCTTTTCCCACGCATACTCTGAGCGTCATCAAATATCGGAAAGAACGTGGCATCCCCTGGCATGAAGAATTCAGCGGCATTCATCCTTTGGGGCAGGATAAGGTGCGTGCAGCATTTTCGAAAGCTCTCTGCACCGCACAGGGCCAGGCGCAGAAGACACATTGGCTCAAGGGCCAAGTCCAGGTGCCTGGCTCAGGCAAGGCCCAGAATCTTCCAGAAGCCACTGATCAAAGTCTGGCCTCATTTCAGATGGACCGAGCGAGCAAGGGAGCATTGCTGGGTCTCAGGGGGACCAAATGCTGACTTGACTTCCGACAGCAAAGCCCAAGGCAGCTGGTTCTGCCACCTGCCCGTGTGCCCAGAGCCGCTGCAGTGGGCACAGGGGCGCCAGGCTCGGGGTGTGGCACCCCCAACCCACCTGCGCCGAGACTGGGAAGGACAAAGAGGACAGGGACCCCGCCCACCATCGCACCCCCTCACTCACCTCCACATCCTGGTCCTCCAACATGTCGGCCTGCATCTGGCTGTCGGGCCTGTGAGTGAAACAGAACTGGTCAAGGCAATCCCCAGGGTGGACAAGGGGCTCCCTGGGTAAATCTAACAAAGGGCCCGGACACTTGCTTTGATTCACTTGGTCCTGGGAGAGGCAGCAGGGAAGCAGACGGTGACAGAAGGCGGGGGCCAGACCCGCTGGTCCCTCCTGAGGTCTGGCTTGGACACCAAGGTCCTTTTAGACCTTAGACTCAGGAGAAGAGGTCCAAGCATGTACAGAGGCACACACCCTAGCAGCCTGGTGTCTGGGAACCGGCTGCGTCACTTCCAAACTGTGACTTCATGCAATTTTCCATCTTTAATTTTGTCTTTTTTCTTTTGTTTTTTAGCCACATCTGGCAATGCACAGGGTTACCCCTGGCTCTGCACTCAGGAATCACTCCTGGTGATGCTGGGGGAACCAAATGGGGTGCCGGGGACCGAACCCAGGTCAGCTGAATGTGAGACCAGTTCCCTACCCACTGTACTATCTCTCTAACCCATCATCAATTTTTTAAATAAGGCCCAGGGGCCATGGGCTGCCCTCTGCAGTATTCGAGCCAGTGAGCCTGATGGGTCAGTGCTGCCGCCTGGCGGGGTACTCTGACCAGCAGTGCTCAGGGGGCTCACCAGGGTTATACCCATCGATGTCTGGGGTACCACAGGTGCTATGGATGGAACTCGAGGCTTCACACGCTGCGCGTGCGCTCTTCAACTTCAACTGTCACTTCCTTATTGTTATGTGTGTGTATATATATGTTTTGGGGTCATATCTGGCAGTGCTCATGACTTACTCCTGGCGTGCATGGGGGGCACCATGCAGTGGCTAGGATCAGCAGATGCAAGGCCTTAACCACTGTGCTTTCTCTCCAGGCCATCACGCAATGTCTTGTTTTCTTGTTCTTTGTTTTGCGTTTGTTTTTTAGGGATGTGTGTTTTGGGGTCACAGCTGACAGTGCCCATGTGGCTTTGTGATCCTCTCAGAATCACTAAGCTCAGTCACGTGCAAGGCAAGCACCTTAACTCCTATCCAAACTCTGTGGCCATTCTCTATTTTTGGTGTGTATTGGGGTGGGGGGGGACACAGCTCACCATTATAATTTCCTAACCTCCGAGCCGTTCTGTGCCTAGACTGAGGCTGACCCAACTCTATCAGCTGAGAGAATCGTGGCCCAGCGCTCAGCGGGTCTGACGTGGGGAAAGGGCTGGCACTGGGAGATATTTTCAGCACTTTCCCGTGCCCTGTATGCCCTCGATCCATCCATCCTTCCAGCTTCTCCACTCACCTCCTCCCAAGGGTAGGAGTAAATGAGCCCCCCTGCGGCCACGGGGCCAGAGACTGAGTCAGCCCAGCGGGAAGAGAGGCAGAGATGCTGTAGGCTGGGCAGCAGGGCAGGGCAGAAGCGTGGAGGGGCGGGTGCCTACCGGGTGCTGTCCGCCACTGCGTCAGGGCATGGGGCCGCTGGTGGGAACGCAGAAATGTCTGGAGGAAACAGAAAAGCAAACACGAAGCATGAGACCCCCCCTTCCTGTTTCCTCTGCAAGATCCCGTGTGGGGGCGCCTTGTCTATGCAGGTGGTGCGACCCCTACAACTGTCTCACACAGTGACACTCAGGCCCGCCAAGGCGCATGTCCCTGAAACCCGCCGCACCTCGGGCAGCAGCTCTGTTCCGGAAGGAGGGGAGAGCTGTTACCGTCTCTTCCCTGCCTGCATCCCCCCACCTGGGGCAAGCTTCCTAGCATGAACCAGTCCTCCTGGCCCTTGTTCTGACTGTCTCTGGGTATTAGGATCATCTGATGGAGAGGGTACAAAAAAGTGTCTTCCCTGTGGCCCATGTGAGCTGTGGTCAAGCCGCTGGCCAGGCCCTCCTTCCCAGCTCCCCACAGCCCCTCAAAGCAGCACGTGTCTCTTGACCGCGGAGAATCCTGGAGGCCCCACAGCCTTGGCTTCCGGGTTTGGGTGTGTGGGACAGACTCCAGGGAGAGGTCGAAATTCAGTCTGTGCGCTGGGCAGCTGGGGCTGGCTGACCTCTGAGCCTGCGGCTTCCTGGTTTTCACTGCAGGCCTCGCATCTGGGGAGGCCGGAAGCTGGGGGACTGTGGGCCGCAGGCTGCTGGCCTTCCGGTTCCCTCTGATCCTAACTGCATGTGGGGAGGCGGGGGCCCCGGCGGACCACTTCCTCTCTCTCTTCCTTCCTCTGTTTTCAGAAAGGGGTGGCCTGGGCTGGATGGGCTCTCAGAGGTCTGCTGCTGACTCCCTCTGCAGCCATGGAACTGCGCCGTGCTGGGGCCTGCTCCAAAGCCAGGTGGCAGGGGGCCCCCACAGCACCACACCTCACAGGCCAGCAGAACTGCCTGGAGGCTTGGGCCTCCTGAGAAGGGAAATGCACACAGGCACCCACATCCCGGGCCAACTTCTGGGGGAATCCCAGGCCCTGGAGCCTGAGCTCAGGTCTCTCCGGAAACCATGACTACCAAGGAGAGCAGACAATTTTCCAGCACTGCTTCAAGGCCTCCACAAAGAGATAGGGAGAGATGCGTGTGCACGTGCGTGCACATGTGTGAGAGAGACAGAGACAGAGACAGACAGAGAGACAGAGAGACACTATGGGAGAAACAGCATCCCAGGAAGGGCAAAATATTTCAAGCCCCATATACTTGCTTAAACATTAAGGGCATATTTTGAACTCTTCTCCAAAATACATCTATACTTGGTATAATAAACACATCTTTTTTCCCCCTCCCTTCCATCATCTCTTCAGAAAAGGATGGAACCTTCTGGAAGAGAGATTCTCCAATGCTCTGGGGCAATCCCCGATACCTTCTTAGAGTCTGTAATCAGGAAACTCTTGAAGGAAACCACAGCAAAAATGGAAATAAGGGGTTGGAGCTGTCGTACAGCGAAGAGCGTGTTTGACCTGGATGACCTAGGTCTGATCCTCAGCATCTCATGCGGTTCCCCGAGCATCGCCAGGAGCGATTCCTGAGCCAGGAGCCAGCCCTGAGCATCGCAGGGCACGGGCCCTTCATTCCCCCTCCCCAATAATGGGAACAAAACCAGAGGCAGCTTCAAAGTCTTGGTGGGGCAGGCTCAGGCCCTAGACACCGCCAGCCCCCCAAACTCAAGGCACAGCAATGTGTAGGAACACGGGGGCCTCCTCTGTGGGAGCCGAACTGGGCTTTGAAAACCAGCACAACCAAAATACTGGGACTTCAAGATAAGCGCCTTCAGCCCAAGGAAAAACCTGTTAGCTCTATAGTCTTGGTCTAAAAATGCAGCACCTAAGAACTGAAAGTTGTAGATTATACTAATGCCTTCAGCTAAAGCTAAGCACCAATCATAAAAATTCTGCAGGAGGGGCTGGAGCGATAGCACAGTGGTAGGGCATTTGCCTTGCACACGGCTGACCCGGTTTCGATTCTCAGCATCCCATATGGTCTCCTGAGCACCACCAGGAGTAATTCCTGAGTGCATGAGCCAGGAGTAGCCCTTATGTATTGCCAGGTGTGACCCAAAAGGCAAAAATGAAAAAAAATCATGCAGGACTAGGAATATGGTCAGATTCAAAGGCTGGCACACAGTAAGTGTGTTATGAAATTTTTGTGGCGAGAATCAATGTCTGAAGTGAACTGCCAAGTCTTTTCCTTTAAAATTTCTGCACCCTGGAGGCACTTCCAGTGAGAGCCAGCAGATGGCGCCGTGCAGTAAGGCCTGGCAAGCGGAGGGGGATCAGTTTCCCGTGTGTCTTGGAAGGTAGGCAGGGGCTCAGAGGGCATCAAACCTCCTGCCTGCAGCCTTGGTGTGAGAGTTCCCCTCCCTCCAAGTCACTCCTCCACAATCGGCAGGCTGGGCCGAGGGGTCACGACAAGGGGCAGTGAGCGCGCCATGCAGAGGACTCACCTGGGAAGATAAACTGTTGTCTATGATGAATGAAGGAGGCAGCTTTGAACAGAAGAGGAGGCGAGTCACACACACAGAATGCAAGCGTGGGCGTGGAGACAAGGGGCTGGCCCAGGGGTGGGGGGCTTCCCGCCTGCCACCACGGGCCTGGCCTGGGTGGCAGCAACCCACACAGGAAGGAGAAAATGAACTGGGGAGAACGAGTACTGGGACCCATCCTGGCCGCCTCCCTGGCCAGGCGGGAAAACACGGAAAAGATCAACGGTGGCTCTGAAAGAGTGGAGGCAGCGCTGCGGGGGGGGGGGGGGGGGGGGGGGGCAGACAGAGGCCCCTTCTCCTGCGCTCACCCCCAGTGGGGCTGAGGCTGTAGGGCCCTGCCCTGGCTAATCACCACGAGAGAAAATCCTCTCTTCAAGGAGCCACCAAGGCCTTGCTTGAAGGCGTGAGGCCTGGGATTGTCCCCAGCACCACATGGGCTCCAGAGCACTGCAGTAAGGAGCACCCCTGAGCACCGAGTGGGAAAGCCACTGAGCACTGCAGATGTGGCCCAACCTCCCCAGGGCTCTGGGCTGGGGCTCTGGCTGCCCCGAGGTGGGGCCCTGGAGCTGGCTGACCTCCCCATGGCAGGACCAGCAGCCTGTCCCAGGTTGTCTTCAGAGATGTTTCTTTGTGTCCAGAGAGATCAGACTTATATTCAGAAATAAACAGAAACGTGTGGCCATGGTGGTCAGGGTGAGCCTGGCCCTGGGCTAGGGCAGAGGCCATCGCCTGCAGGGAGCACTCAGAACAGCAGGCCTGTGCCTGGGGACACCAGGGAGCACTGAGAGCACTGGGACTCTGCAAACAGGTTTTCTAAGGCTGCTGCCCTCCACACAGGCCCTGACTTTGAGAGCGAGGGAAAAGAAAAGAAAAAAAAAACAAGCTGGGAGGAACTGCCAAAGGGCCAGTTTCCAAGGTTAAGGGCAGAGCAGGAGAGAAGGGGTTAATGTAAGGGGCACTCTGGAGGGCAGGCGGGAAGTACCAGGACACAGGATGGCAGAAAACGCCTGGCCATGTGCGTTCATGGCAAGGCCAGGCGAAGAGAAGATTCTCACAAAACCCCTGTCTCAGATCACACCCAAAGGTGGCCCCGGAACCCTCACAAGGCTTCCTGTTGCTGCAGTGGGGGTCCCCCAGCACGGGAAGAGCTGTGCTCCCCCTCCAGGTGGGTCTGACCCGGACTCCACAAACCACCGGCCTGTACTTGGAGCAAATGGGGAGCCAGGGATCCTAGCCATTCTTTTCTCCCATGCTGCCACCCGTAAGCAACCCAGGCAGACCAGCTAGCTGCGCGAAGCTGCCAGGAGGTGATGTCAAGGGTCATCCCTGGGATGGGTAAGCAGGTCCCGCTCTGCTCCGAGCCTGGCTATAGGCGGGAGACCTGGCCCACAGACAGGGCTCGGGTCAGCTCCAGCCAGCACGCCCCTCCCCTCCGTCCTCACTCTGCAGGCAACTGCACGGACTGCGCTCTCCCCGACTTCATAGATAAAGGGGACCCAAAGCTCCTTTCAGCAGGTAAGGGAGAGAGTCCCAGTTCCCTGTGCTGTGTGTGGCTCTTCTGGGCCCTGGGATGGGCCATCCTGGAGTGACCTCACCAGGAGAGGTCCCTGGAGCACAAGCACAGAACCGGGAGCATGTGGGGAGCCCAGACTCACGCCCACCTCGGCCTGGACCCTGGCTGGGTGGGGTGGGGGCAGGACAGGGCACGATGAGCGTGTCCGTTCCCAGCCCAGGGATCCAGCAGCCCACATGGTCACGGGCGCACCTCCAGACACTGGCCCAGCTCAGCGTGCCGAGAAGGGCGCCCCTGACCCCCAAGCCTCAGGAAGTACAGCTGCAATACCTGGGAAGTTGAAGTGGCTGCCCCTCTGGCCCGGTGAGGGGTTGGGGGGTGTGGAGGCGCCGTAGGGGTTAGACAGGGTCGGGAAGGGCGCGGGGGAGGAGGGCGTGGAGGACGTCGTGGAGGACGGGTTGCTGCTGGAGTCCAGGTGGTTGGTGGTCGGCGGGTGCTCCTGTGGGCAGAAGCAGCATGGCGTCATTGCGGCCCCTTGTCTGTCACCTGGCCACCCCCAGAGACCCTCTTCCCAAGCCCCTCCCCTCAGCCAGGGCTCCTCTGTGCCCTGGAAATGCCACATGGCCGAGCAAATGCTGCCAGGGACATTCCCGAGTGATGGCCGGCCAGGTAGACTGTGAGTTAAGTTTTGGTGGCTGCGTGCTCAGAAGCCTTTCGCTGTCGCCGAGTCCTTTTTCATAGCCTCCACACTCTGTGAGGCATGCCCATCTAGGGCCAGGCCACACCCCCACCCCCCGCAGCCCGGAACCATGCTCCCCCCACAGCTCCCCAGCACTCGGGCTGAAGGACCTCCCTGACTCCGCACGGCTTCTGTGAGGGCAGGAACCATGGCTGCTTGGGGCACCCTCGGGATAGGCACACAGTTGGGTTCAGCAACAGAATCGATTCCACTTCTGATGAGTGCTTGCTTGGGGTGTGGTACACAGAAGGCGCCTAATAATTGCTCCTGCCCTTTTCTTGCAGATCTGCTGGTGGGGACTGCCCAGTGGTTTGGCATGAGACCTTCTGAGAGGCTCTGGGGGCTGAGTCTTGGTTGTGAAACCCCCAGGCTCTGATCTGCGTCCCCTAGCTCATCAGTTAGGACAGGTGGAGCAAGACTATATGAAATGCTTTTTTTGTGGGGGGGAGGGCCTACTCTGCGGTCATGAATCACTCTTGGTGGGGCTTGGGGGACCATACTGGGTGCTGCGAGCTGAACCCCAATCAGCCGTGTGCAAAGCACATGCCCTACCCGCTGTACTCTTATCACTCCACTCTGAAATGCTTTAACCAATTCAACAAGTTTCTCCCCCAGGCCCGAAGCCTCTGGGGTTGTCCTGGGGACCGTGCAATGCACCAAAGCCCAGACAGAGGCTACAGCACCCAGGGGCTCCCTGCACCCCTAAGGAGAATCCTGGAGAACCCACAGTCCCTGCTCACCCCTGGAGACTCCCATCTGCACCTTGGGGCAGTGCCCTGACTGTGGGTAGGGTGGGAATACATGGGTCAGGCTGCCTGGCCCTGGAGAGCCCCCCTTTCTGAGCCACAGTGTATTTACAAAACAGGGTTCATACCCACTACTTGTCAATGAGGACAAGCTTCCTGACCACCACTGGGGGTCAGAACAGCACGCCCTGCCCTCAGGCCCTCACTTAGGGGGCTACAGAGGGTCCCACAGAGCATATCCAGAAGGTAGGGGCAGGGGGAAGGGTGGGCAGAAAAGCCAAGGCAGGAATGGGCAGACCCAGGGAGCAGGGGCCAGAGAGATGGCCTTGGTCCATGCCTGGCACATGGAAAACTCAGGAACCAGCTCCGCGGGGGGGCCTGAGGGGCTTTGGGCGGGGGGGTCCTGAGTCCTTCCCTCAGCGACAAGAGACACACACCCCCAAACTGGTCTGAGAAGGGCCAGATTTCCACTGGGACCCCATAGGGAGGTATCGAGCTCCAACTGGCCCTCACATTAGGGGGGCTCTAGTGGAAGGAAATGGGGGGGGAAGGGAAGACAATGTCCTGGCAGCAGCCCCCACCCCCGGGCCCCACCTACCTTCTTAGTCAGTGCTTTGGGGAGAGTTCCGAAGTGGGGTTCTGCTTGTCGGTCCACAGGGTTGTTGATGTCCGAGGGCACAGACTCTGTCCTCCGAAGCTTAGGGACTGCATGGAAAGAGGCGGGGGGGGGGGGGGGGTCATCAGCTGGGATGGAATCCAGTGGGATGGAACTTGCAGTGCCCAAGGCAGTGGAGGGGAAGGGCAGGAGACTCACGTGGCAGGAAGGAGATTCGGCAGGCAGGGGCTTCTTTTGTACACTTGTTGTGACATTTCAACCTGAAAGGGAAGACGGGGTCTGTGATAGAGGTGTCACACCCACGGCGATGCCTGCTTGCCTGCCTCCACTCCCTCAACTTTTGGGGAGTGGGGTGTGTGTGTACAATATGAGGGTCACACCTGGCCGTGCTCAGGGCTTACTCCTGGCTCTGCGCTCAGGCATCACTCCTGACGGAGCTCTGGGAGACCCTATGAGGTTGCCCAGGACTGGATCCCAGTTGCCATGTGCAAGGCCAGAACCTAAACCTCTGAACTCTGCAGTCTTACATCTCTGACTGGGTCCATGAGCCAAGGACATGTCTCACACAGGACCACAGTGACCAGTGGGCCAGCAGCCGCCCTTCCCTACACAGGTCTGCCCAGTGCCCAGCCCTCACGACCACTGGCCCTCAGTCTCCCCACTGGAATCATGGGCTGCACCGAGCTCTCCTCCCGGAGAGATGATTCTCCATCCAGGAAGAACGCTGAGACAGATGTCACTTCCTAGAGACAAGTTTAAGGAGGATGTTTGTGTGACCACAGGACTGAGGGATGAGTGAAGAAGTCCTTCCCACTGCACTGCAGGGCGGCGGGAGTTGGTGGGGCGATGGGGGAGGCGAGTATCTGTCGCAGGGCTCCCACTGATCGATCACACAGGCCTCCTGGCCTCCCCTGGACCAGCCTAGAGAACACAGGCCCAGCTCACCATGCTCTCCAGAGAGAAGGTTCTGGCACTCCTGAGAATCAGGAGAGACATGAGGAAAACAACATCCACCTAAGCGATATGCAGAGGCCCCCACTGACCGCAGAGTCTCCTGACCATAGAGCCCCTCACTGACCGCAGAGTGCCCAAGGACCACAGAGCTCCTCACTGACCGCAGAGTGCCCAAGGAACACAGAGCCCCTCACTGACCACAGAGTCTCCTGACTGAAGAGCCCCCACTGACCATAGAGCCCCTCACTGTCCATAGAGCTCCTCACTGACCGCAGAGCCCTCACTGACAGCAGAGTCCTCACGGACCGCAGAGCCCTCTTATGGACAGACTTGCCGGGGCCCAGACGCTCCCAATACTAGGGAGCTGAAGTGGTGGTGCAGCAGGTAGGGCAGCTGTGCTGCATGCAGCCAGCCAGACCTGATCCCTGGGCATCCCACATGGTCCTTCGAGTCTGCCAGGAGTGATTCCTGAGCACAGAGCCAGGAGGAAACCCTGAACACTGCCAAGTATGGCCCCCAAACAAACAAATAAAGGCTTCCAGTGGTCTGACACCTGCCAGCTTGGGTTCTTAAATCAACCCTGACAAATACTGGAATGGCCTCGCGAGGCATAAAATAACAACGACTGGGTCCAGAGCACAGCCTTGAGGCGCACCCTCTGAGGGAGGCTCTCCCGCTGCACTATTCTAGACACGTCCTCTTCCTGATTGGAGGAGAGAGCTTGGCTCTGCTCTGTACCTAGGCTCTCCCCTCCTCAGAACATGTCTGTGCTGGCCACAGCCTGTGTGAGTGGGCATCGTGTGTGCGTGCACGCATGTGTGTGTATGTGTGTGCTTGCACGTGTGTGAGTGTGTGTGTATATGTGTGTGCGTGTGTGCATGTGTGAATATGGGTGAAACTGCAGAATACCCAAGTTCACCTCCCATCCCCCTCTGTCTTTACCCAAGACATTCTCCAGGTCTGGGATTTCCTTCCTTCCTTGGTCAACCTGGCAAACTTCTATTCACTCTTCAAAGCGCACCTCGACGAGCCCCTCCGGGAGTGCAGCCTGGCCTGATGCCTCCCTAACCGCCCCCCGCCCTCCCGACAGGCTGGTCCCTCCTGGCAGGCTGAACGGGGCTGTGGTTCCCCTGGAGTCCCTGGGCGCTGCGGGTGGTCTGGCCTCACCTGCAGTGCTTGCACTTCACTCCAAACATCATGCTCTTCTGGCACACGTGGCAGACCTGGGATAGCCAGGACTTGGTGGAGAACCTGCAGGAGAAAGAAAGCGGATCCCGTGGGCCAGGAGACCGGGGCCTGGACAGCCGAGCCCCACCCAGTCCCCATCCTCTCGGGGGCACCCAGCGGCCCAGTCTCCCGGCAGCCTCCCTCCTGCGTTCGGAGCCAAGAGTCCTCATTGCCAAGAGCCCCACGTTATGTGGACGCTGGTGCCAGCTCCCTGGCAGGTCACTTGGCAAGAGCAATGACAAATGTGCAGCCCTCTGACCCAACAACTCCAGCTCAAACTTATGCTCCAGGCACTCCCAAGGCGCCCAACCTCGTGCAGGTCAGATTACCCCCATGGGATGTTGGGGCAGTAGAAGGTGACACAGAGAACTGAGGGGTCTGGGGGGCCATTCCACACCCACAAGACCAGGCCCAGGGCCTTGATGTGGCCTGGGTATCAGGAGGCCCCCGGAGCGCTGATGTGAGCCCTGGTTTCCCCTGCATCCCTGCCCTAGGCAGAGTGAGGGGCCATGTCTAGGAGGACACAGCTGCAGGTGGCCCAGCCCCGGGCCCTCCCGCCCACCATGCTGTCCTACCTGTGCGTCACTGACAGTCCAATGTCCCTTCGTACCATCTGTGGGGATCCCTGCGGGAGATCTGTGGGGAAGAGGTAGGTGAGGGGGGCTCGGGAGCCCTGCAGGGACCCCCAGAGATCACAGGCCATCGGGGAGCAGAGAAGCACAGCCCTGAACCAGTGTCACGGTGATAGTGGTGGCTAAGCTGCATCCAGGATGACTCTGGCTGTGGGAAGGCAGTGTGCAGGGCGGGATGAGACCCCAGAGCCTCTTGCCACACATGAGGTGGGGCGGAGCAAGACCCCTACAGCCCCTCGCCTTCACGCTCTCCTGGATGCACCCACAGCCCTACTCTCAGCTGAATTCTGGGACCGCGCCACGTGGCTAGCAACTGCTGGTTCTGCATAGGGGTTGGAGGTGGGGTGGCCGGAAGCACAAGGACCCTTTGCCCTGAGAATCTGGGGCTGCGCCAACCACACTAGACGGGAAGCACAAGGCCAAGGTGAGGCTCACAGTGCCCCCACCATATGGCCTGGACTTCGAGAAGTCTCACCACCAGTTTGGGGTACCCCAGTGAGAGGCACCCCAGTACTTTAGGTGCTAATCTGCCATGGGGGAGCCTCTGGAAGCCACATCTCCCCTCAGCTTCTTTGTCTCTGGGTGCACCCGACCTGCCCGGGCATCCCCTTGGCACTCAGCTGTCTCCCTGAAGTAAGGGGGTCCATACCCCAGCCTGATTTGGGTTCGGTGCATCTGGGTGCCCTCTGGACAAACAGAATTGTGTGTGGGGGGGGGCTTCTCCCTGAGAATCCAGTTACCAAAGGGGCCCGTGACCCAGGCAGATAGAGACACAGTGCTCAGGGGGTCCAGCCCACCCGGTGCCCCTGAATCTGGCAATAGCAGCCCCCCTCGGGCCCTCAGTGCCCCAAAGCCTGACCTGGCACCCAGTTCACAAAGGCAAGTCTCAACCTAAGCACAGGCAGAGAGCAGCTGCAACGGAATCCATCCACCTGAGGGGGTGTCCTGCCAGGACTGAGGACTGGGGAGTCCCCGTGGAGCACTGCAGCTCCTCCTGACACGGGCTCCCTCTTGGGGCCCAGACACCCTGCCAGGCACAGGCTCCGTCCAGAAAGATGCAGGCTGCCCTTCTGAGAGTGGGCAGAGACAGCGGGAGCACGGGCTCTCCTCTGCGGCCCAGTTCGGCTTTGTGGCTCCAGCCCTGGGGAGGACCAAGGCGAGGTGGTCCCTGTTCAGTCACATCTGACCCTAAGACCATGAAATCTGAGCAGCCTTGTCCCACCCTCCTGCAAGATGGGGTCGAGGCCTCAATGTTCTAAACCCACAACATGCCAGCATCTGGGTGTCGAGAGCCGTGTGCGTGTGCGCGTACGTGCATGTATGCGTGCGTGTGTGTGCGTGTATGTGTGTGTTGGGGGTGCGTGTTGCAGGTGCTGTGTCTGCTCTGGGAGGGGCTGTGGCCGCTTCTCTCCTCACCCAAGCCCCCTCCTGCTGGGCCCCACCCCTGCTCCCATCCTGCCTCCTCGCTCAGCTTAGCTCCAAGGACCACAGGGCTCCAGCCTGTCCAGGGACAGACAGACCAAGGAACCCTGGTCTGCTCGGGGGATGCCCCTAGCACACCCCCTGAGGACCTGCTCCCCAACTGTGTGTCAGGAGGGGGCTTCACCGCGCTGGGCTCTTGTCCTCGCCTGCTGGCGGGGGTCTGGGGGTGGCTCACAGACACCAACAGAGCAGAGGCGCCTGCCTGGCCCCACGGGTCACCTGCCAGGGCCATCTGTGGGGGCCACCCAGGGACCTGCCCACTCTCCAGGTCTCTGCTCTGCCAAGCACAGCTGCTGGCCGGGCTGGTCTGTGGCACCTGTTGTCTTACAGCCACCTGTCCCAGAGCTGCTCCAGGCCCTCTGGCACCTCGGCTGGCAGCCTGGGGCAGGCCGGGAGGACTGAGAGGGTGACGGGACTCCTCGCCGACAGGGACGGCCATGCAAACACGCCTCGTGGTGGCAGAGGGCTGAGAAGGAATCACACTCACCAAACCTGGAGGGGGGAGAGAGAGAGAGGTAGAGAGAGGGGGAGGGGGGTCATGTCACATCCCAGACATGGTCCTTGTGGGGGCCGGGTGGGCTGAGTGGTGGAAATCCTGGTGGTGGGGGGAGGAGAAGCTCGGTCCAGACCCCCACGAGTGAGCCCCGAGGCTGGCTCGTCCCCAGGAGATGGTAAGGGTCACACTACCTGCCCCGAGAGACCCCCAGCACCTCCCATCGTCGGTGTTTGGCGGCAACTGGAAACCCAAGAGGAGGAGGGCAGAGAGGAGGCCGCACCCACGGAGAGAAGTGGGGACAGGCAGTGTAGTGTCCCTCAGGGTCCCTATGCAGGGAAAGGAGTGCGGAGGACCAGGCCACACCAGCCGGGGCAGCCAAGGCAGCCGGGTGGCCGAGCACCCATGTCAGCGCAGTTCTGGGGCTGTGTGGGGATGGACCACCAGCTGAAGGCACCAAGAGGTGATGTCACCCTGCCTGACTCCCCGGTCCCCCAAGCACTCCCTGCAGGAGAAACTGAGAAGCCGACGCTCTCTGAGGTGCCTCTGACTGACCCATGTATCCACATGGTGGAAACCCCCTGGGGTAGGGGGCTCCGTCCAGGCCCCTGGCCATGAAGACCCAGGACAGCTACACTAGGACTGAGGGTCAGGCACAGCCCAGACCGGAGAAGAGTGTCCATGTCAGGAAGAGAAGCCCAGCACCCCACCCTTGGAGGTACAAGAAGGGATACCCACGGGAAATGCCCTCTTCCCCTCTGCACTATCCACAAGGGACACTGACAGGGACCTAACTGTCTGGCAAAGGCAGAAGAAAACTACCTGAGAGGGCCGGAGGAAGCTCGGAATGAGTGTAGGTGGGTCTGCATGTGGGAGGCCCGGGTTCCATCCCCGTGACCGCAGGGTTCCTTGAGTGCTGCCAAGAGCAACTACCAAGCCAGGAGTAGCCTCTGAGCACCACTGGGCATGGCCCCAAAACCACCACCACAAAAAACAACAAAAGACCCAGACGAAAGAAGCAAGCCCAACCACACAAGAAAATGGTATGAAACACTAAGAAGAGGTGAAAGGGGCCAGAGAGATGGTACAGTAAGGTCACTTGCCTTAGACGTGACCAACCTGGGTTTGATCCCCAGCACGGCCTATGGTCCCCTGAGCCGCCTCCTTACCCCTCAGGAATGATCCCTGAGCAAAAAGCCAGGAATAAGCCTGCTCTCAGCGTTAGTGCTTGGGGGCCAGAAAGATAGTTCAGTGGGTAGAGTGCTGGTCTTGCATGTGGCCAACCTGGGTCCGATCTCAGGCATCCCATAAGACACCCCCTGAGCCCCAATCAGGAGTGATCCCTGAGCACAGAGCCAAGAGTCAGCCCTGAGCACTGCTGGGGATGGCCCTCGAACAAGACAAAGACAAAACAGGGATGGCAAACGTGTGGGGTGGGTCACCGACCTCATGGGGGAGACCTCGTCGATGCGGTTGCCCAGCTGCGACTCGTGGGACTTGCTCCGGGTGAGCGTGGGGAAGCCGGGCAGCAGCTGGAAGACCTTGCGGCTGGGGGGCGGCGGCGTCCGTGGTGGCTTGAGCTTGGCGTGCCGGCGCAGCTGAGGCGTGGTCGGGGGCGTGATGAAGTGGTGCAGGGAGCGGGGTGTCAGCCGCCCGCTCGTGTGCAGCGAGACGCAGCTGTCGGAGACGCCCTCGCCGAGGCCAAGGGGTGGGGAGTCCGAGACGGGCAGGGCTGACACAGACACGGAGCGTGGGCCCTGGGCGCCGCCGCCTGGTCTGCCCAGATGGGAGCTCCCCGCAGGCCAGGCCAGGCTGGCCGGGGAGAGGGTGTCCACATGGGGCCCCGAGCCGCTTTCCCGCCGGCCATCTGACGCGCTCCAAGTGGAGTCCTCTCTATGCTCCCCTCCTGCGGGCCAAGAAATCCAGTTACGAGTGGCTGGGGTTTGGGGGATTTATAATGAGGTGGCAAGGGCCCGGAGAGGGTGAGCATGTGGTCCAAGGTTGCACAGTACTTAGTGAGAGCCTTTAGTAGTTGGCTTTCCCTCTCATGATCACACGGTACCTTCTCCCTGACCTCACTGACTGGATCCCCGGTGCTACAATCACAACTTATTTATTTTTTATTTTTGGTCACAACCAGCCATGCTCAGGGGTCACTCCTGGTTCTGCACTCAAGAACCACTCTTTGTGTGGCTTGGGGGACCGTGTGGCGTGCTGGGAATCGAACCTGGGAAGGCCACGCGCAAGAAAAACGCCCTTCCCGCTACACTATTGCTGCAGCCCCCCCACCCCCCCTTCTCTTCCTGTGCCTCAGGAAGAGAAGAGCCAGGGCGACTATGGCTGGCGGGTCTGGGGGCTGAGTGGACGTGCTCAGGCGCTGGCGACGGATTTTCAGGACCAGGAGAGGCAGGGACAGGGAAATGGCACCAGAGATAACAGAGTGGGCAGGGCACTTGCTCTGCACACGGCCGACCCTGGTTCCATCCCCAGCACCACCATATATGATCCCCTGAGCTCCACCACGAGAGACCCTGAGCACTGGGCTATGAGGCCTACATCACCCAGGCCCGGCACCCAGCACTGCTGGGAAGTCCCCGCCACCCCCACAAGGGCTCCCAAAGGCAAGGGGGTGTGTGCAGGAAAATAATGCTACTTTAAGAAAATTCAGGCATCAGGAAAGGGGGCAGCACCCATCTCCTAGCAGCGAATGGCCCTGGGCATTTGTTCAAAGAGGCCCCGGCAGCCACTTCTCTGAGGCCCTGGTTGAGCTGGCCCCAGCCTGCCCAGTGTGTGCTTCGCTGGATTTCCAGAGACTTCGCCCCCTGGAGCAGCCAACACTGTACAGTGCTCTGCGCCAATAGAGATGCCAGAGACAGAAGCACAAGACAGGAGGAGCCACGCAGCCTGGGCCTGAGTAGGTCAGGAGGTCGCCCAGAGGAAGTGGCCTCTGGGCTGAACCAGAGGGCATCGACAGGGAGAGCATGCCCAGTCCCTTCCAGAGACTCTAGAGCTCTGTATCGTGGGACAGGAGTGGCCAGAGACAAGGTCAATGGTCATAGGAGCTAGCTCTGGCGGTGCCCAGGCAACCTTATTGGAGCCAGGGGGATGAGGAAGGAGTGGGGCTGGGGAAAAATCTACCTCTCAGCCAGAGAAATGGTGCAGGGGTGAGGGCCAGAGAGATAGTGCAGGGGTGAGAGTCAGAGAGATGGTATAGGGGTGAGAGTCAGAAAAATAGTGTAGGGGTAAGGGCCAGAGAGATGGTATAGGGGTGAGAGCCAGAGAGATGATGTAGGGGTGAGAGCCAGAGAGATGGTACAGGGGTGAGAGCCAGAGAGATGATGTAGGGGTGAGAGCCAGAGAGATGATGTAGGGGTGAGAGCCAGAGAGATGATGTAGGGGTGAGAGCCAGAGAGATGGTGTAGGGGTGAGAGCCAGAGAGATGGTGTAGGGGTGAGAGCCAGAGAGATGATGTAGGGGTGAGAGCCAGAGAGATGATGTAGGGGTGAGAGCCAGAGAGATGATGTAGGGGTGAGAGCCAGAGAGATGATGTAGGGGTGAGAGCCAGAGAGATGATGTAGGGGTGAGAGCCAGAGAGATGATGTAGGGGTGAGAGCCAGAGAGATGATGTAGGGGTGAGAGCCAGAGAGATGGTGTAGGGGTGAGAGCCAGAGAGATGGTACAGGGTGAGTGCCAGAGAGATGGTGCAGGGGTGAGAGCCAGAGAGATGATTCAGGGGAGAGGGCCCAGAGAGATGGTGCAGGGGTGAGAGCATGAGACCCACGTGCAGCCCACCTGGGTTCAATCCCCAGCACCAACGGGTCCTCTGAGCGTTCCTTTCTGTTCTCTGTGCTGCTCCATGAGAACCGCAGGGGCTGGGGAGAGCTCCGAGGCCAAGTACAGTGGGGAGCTCTGGTTTGATCCCTGGCATAACGTGCTCCCCCAGCCACTACTGGGAGCAGTGCCTGAGCCCCAAGCTGGCACTAGTCCCCAGGGCTTCCGCCCCTCATCCCCCACCCCTCCCCACAGCAAAAACAAACAAAAAGAAAACTGCCATTGGAATTGACAGCTCCACTTCCATTCTGTCTACGTAAGAGGCAGCCAGCACACATTTCTTTCTTGTTTTGGTTTTGGGGTCACACCTGGCAATGCTCAAGGCTTACTCCTGTCTCTGCACTCAGGGACCACTCCTGGTGGGGCTCAGGGGACGGATGTGATGCTGGGGATCAAACCCAGGCTGGCTGCGTGGAAGGCCCAGGGCCTTAATCTACTGTACTATTTTTCCGACCCTCAACATGTTTTCTTGTTGAAGAATGAGTTTCATAAATCCACGGTCAAGTCTGCCACCCAAGGAAGCAACACCCTGCCCCGGCCCCCACACCCGCCCACTCTCCAAACAGTCTCTTGAATCACCAGCTCCTTTGAGTCTGGCAAAATGGCCAGCCAGTGTGTGGCAGCACAGATCACGTGGCTGTGTGAGGAAAACTTCTGGAGTCAGTCAGAAGGCTCCAGAGAGTGAGGGTGACGTCTGCTATGGATAAAGGCTGGGGAGTGTGTGCAGGTCTGATGTTCTACTCACCAGCCACAGGCTCTGAGAATCATTGTTCCATCACCTTTTTTATTTTTGGGGGGGCATGGGGGGGAAGGGTTCCCAGGAAGATTGGCGGGGACCAGAAACCATGCTCAGTGGTGCTCGGTCCAACTGCACTTGGTTGGCATGCAGCACTGGGCGCCCCTCATCTTTTTTTTCCTTTTTTGGGGTCACACCCAGCGTTCTCAAGTTACTCCTGACTCTGTACTCAGGAATCACTCCTGGCAGTGCTCAGAGTATATGGGACACCAGGGGATGTGCCCAACCCACTGTCCTATCCCTCAGCCCCTCCCTCTTCTTTAAGACAAGAGTCCACCAGGGAAATGATGTCCACGCTTCCTATTACCCTACAGGCCTCAGACAGATGAGAGCCTCCGTGGAGAGTTCAGTTCTGGTGAAAGCCTGGCCATAGCTCACTTCACCCTCTGAGAGCTGAGCTGTCCTACCCTGCACTGACAGACAAAGAAAGGGAGGCAGGCGGGCTAAGGAACGGACCAGGGACCCTCCCTGCTCTCAGTGCCTGTGTACAGTGGGCAGAAGTCTGATTGTACAGTCCACATGCGCAGTAATGAGCCGCTCTTGGTGCGCCTGTCCAGTCAGCTGCACTGTCAGCTGCCCGCATGGCCTCGGGGACAGGGAGCTCTCGGGGCTCGCCACATTCCCAGGCGCCCCATCCCCAGCAGGGGCGCTGCAGCCTGGCCTGGGAGTGTGGCAGGACCCTGTTGCAGACACGGGGCCCAAGAGGACCCTCATCGGAAGTGGCCCTCGGAGAGAAGCTCCCCCAAGGTCTCTGAGGGCACAAGGGGAAAAGGCCTTGGACTCAACAGGTCCAAAGCTCTGCCGGGTGACAGGAGAGAGACAATGGCAAGGGACACACCAGGCAAGGGACCCAGATGGCTAACTCAGCACTGCCCATACCTCTACCTCTAAATGAGCTTCACCCCCGCCACACACACACACACACACATTCAAGGGCTGTTGCCGTCCATGTGCTAAGTGCCTGCCTGCCGCCCAGTCTTCCTCCCTCAGCAGTCAGGAGGGGCAGAGAAGAGACAGCCCGCTTCACACATGGAGTCACCCCTCACCGGCTCCCCACAAGTCCTCACAATCCAGGTAGGGGTGCTGCTGACAAGTTACCCCCAGATCCCTGCTGGGGTTGCCAAGTCCTTTTAAATGTTCACAACCTGAGAATAAGCCAGCCACCATTCAAGACAAAGATTGTGTGTCCTCGGCAAAGCGTCTGTCCCTCTCTGTTCTCAATCTCTGTATCATGAGGGGACAAGAAAGCTGACCGCTCCTCAGCGGTGTTGTTTTGTGCCGGGCACCAGCCGGGACGCAGTCTGTGCCATTTTCAGCCCCGACTGATGCTCCATCTGCTGGGTATTGTTTGCACAGATGTTTGCACAGGGACCGAGAAGCAATTCAGCCTACTGCTCTCTGGGGAAAGAGATCCAGCAACACATCCGATGCACGGCCCCCCTTCACTCTTGGGCAGCCGGAGAGAAGCCAGGTAGCTCAGGGCATTCGGAAACAAGGCTTTTGCCATTCATCAGCTCATCTCAGCGCCCGGTCGTGTGCCGGGGGAGCTCCGAGCGAGGCATCTGAAGCTGTCTCAAGGCAAGATTTAGAAAGCCAGCAAAGAATTCCCTAGGAACGTGTCCCACCGCCCAGACCTGGCCCTCGGCTGCCATGCACACACTCTGCTGAGACACAGTACAAGTCTGTTAATCATGCTCGACTCAGGCAAAACCCACCTTAGCCTGGCCCGGGGAGCAGGCGAGCAGAGGGAGCAGGCAGGCAGAGGGGGTGTGAGTGAGCTGGGGTCGGGGAAGGGGCTGGCATGCAGGCAGCGGGCAGAGGCCTTGCAGGGCTGACCGATGCAAGGGGAAGAGGAGAAATCGTGCAGCGACCCCGGCAGACAGGCCTCGGGTTTGCCACAACAGCTGCAGCACCCACAGGGCTGGGACTGGTCGAGACAGTCTGAAACCTGTGCGGGGAAGAACCCTGCCACGGCCACTGAGGGCCCATGGGAGGGGCAAGGGGCCGCAGTGTCCGACCTACCCAAGCCTGTCACCTTCCTCAGGCAGGTGAGAGCCGACTGCAGGCGGCCACACTCCTCAGCGCCGGCCCCGCAGCGCCGCAGTGTTTCCTTCACTTTGGACTCGTTCATCTCCAGTAGGGCGTCCAGCGTCAGCTGGCCGAGGATCTCCTGGGAAGCAGAGGGACAGGGTGAGTGGCCGGCGGCCCTGGCCTCCTCATCCCCCCACCAGGCCAGTTCCGCTGAGTGGCAGGAACCAGCTGCGGCTAAAGCCGGCCCCCCCAGAAGCCACCACTTGTCTGAGGACACGCAGCCACTGCCAACAAGCACCACCTCACAGACAGCAGCTGAGGCGGAGATGCCAATGCTTGGGGGTGGGGGGTGGGGAGAAAGAACATTCTGGAAAGGCTGCCATGAGGATTTGCTGCCCCTTGTTTTTTTTTATTATTGTTGTTGTTGTTTTTATTGACTCAGCCATACAATGTTCCAACACCCGTCCCTTCACCAGTGTACATTTCCCACCACCAGTGTCCCTAGTTTTCCTCCCGTCACCCTCACCCCCCAACCTGCCTCTATGCCCCCCCACTTCACTTTTTAATTCTAATGCACAGAAGAAAGTGTGAAATCAGGGCAACTTTTATGAATGAAGACTGCTTGAGCGGAAGATGGTGCCCCACAATCTGCTGTATCTGAATCAGATCAGAGAGAATTCAGTGAAAATGGCTTCACAAAAGAAGGGGTACAGAGAGCCCCTCGTTAAGCTATAAAAACACGAAGTCAGGGGCTGGAGCAATAGCACAGCGGGTAGGGCATTTGCCTTGCAGGTGGCCAACCCAGGTTCGAATCCCAGCATCCCATACGGTCCCCTGAGGAGTAATTCTTGAGTGCATGAGCCAGGAGTAACCCCTGTGCATCGCCGGGTGTGACCCAAGAAGCAAAAAAAAAAAAACCCACAAAAAACCAAAACCCCACAAAGTCAGAGGTTAAATATCTGGGAGGGGCACTGAGAGGGGTAGGCGGGGGCACAGATAATGCCTACTGGGGGATGGCAGGAGCCATAATGCAGGGCTGGGATTCGAACCAGGGCCAGCATATACATGTACCTTAACCCCTGTTCTGTCTCCCCTGCCTATCAGGACTTAAACTCCTTCCATTCTCTACCCCTTTTCCCCTGAAAAGTTTTGACACAGTCCTGAGTACATAGGTAATATACAATAGATCTATAAATAGAACCATTACTGGTAATAAACCAAATGTTCATTTAAAAACACGCTTCTAAGATAATTGGTTTGTTTATTTCATAAGTCTAATATTAAGCCATTTACTAAATTGTAACTTGTGGTTCATTTAAAACCCCAACCTGAGCAGTTTTTTTTTTAATTTTTATTAGTGAGACACCATGAGGTACAGTTGTAGACTTACAAACTTTTGTGCTTGGGTTTCAATTATATAATGATCAAATACCAATCCCTCCACCACTGCCCATTTTTCACCACCATGGGTCCCAGTGTCCCTCCCACCCCCCATCCTCCCCATCCCACCCTGCCTCCATGGCAGTGCATTCCTTTTTGTTTTTTTTTTTTTTTTTACACATTACTGTTAACATAGAGACGTTTACCTGGAGCGGTAATATGGTGGGAAGGGTACTTGCTTTGCACGCAGCCAACCCAGGTTTGACCCCCAACATTCCATATAGTCCCCTGAGCACTGCCAGGATTGACTCCTGAGCCCAGAGCCAGTAGTAACTCCCGTGCATTGCCAGGTGTGGACCAAAAACAAAAACATTTTTGATGTGGCATGAAAGTTGGTGTCCATGACTTTTATTAAAATGCACTGATGCTTTGCTTAAGGGGGCCCAAGTTCAACCCCTCACATCACTGGGAGCCACTCTTGATGGTGTGGCCCACAACTTTAAAAAAAAAAGTGAACATGATGGTGTGACCCAAAACTTAAAAAAAAAATTCTCTTAAAGTCATAGTTCAAACACATTTTTATGGGGAGAGCTGGAGAGACAATACAAAGGTTAAGGAGTTTGCCTTGTACACAGCTGACCCCAGTTCGATTCCTGGAATTACAAATGATCCCCTGAGGCCCTCATGAGTGATCCCTGAGCACAGAGCCAGTAGTAAGCCCTGAGCACGGCTGGATGTGGCCCAAAACCAAATGAACAAAAAAAGAAATAAAAAATGCATTTTGTTGTTGTTCTGGGGCCTGGCTGTTCTAAGGGGCTACTCCTGGCGGTACTTGGGGGACCATATATGATGCCAGGGACTGAACTAGGGCCAGCATGTACAAGGCAAGCGCCATGCCAGTTGTGTGATCTCTCAGGCCCAGAATCCTTTTTTTTTTTTTTTAAACAGTGATGACCCCAATTTTAAGACGTTGGCACTATCTTGCCTTGTTTAATTCCTTTGTCAAAACCTGTCACTTGGATCACTTGGAGCTGGCAAAGGCTGTGAGGCTGTGGGTCCTCCCCCAGGTCATGGGGAGGGGAGGGTGGGTGGGAGGCAGGCGACATCTCTGTGACTGCTGGGTTATGTGAGGAAGGGAAACTGCCCAAGCAGCCTCATTCATCACGTAGGACCTGTGAGAGCACTGTTTTCTCCAGTGAGCAGCTGAGAGGAAGCCAGGCTGTGTGGAAAAGGACTGCCCGATGCTTGGAAGACGGAGGGGGCAGAAGGGTGACACAGAGCAACGGGAACCTGAGGTCTAAAGCTGCGACGACGAGCCCAGTTAAAGCAACTCCCTAAACTCCAGGGCCTGCGGGATCTGCAGCTGGGGTGCCCACACTCCCCACCTAGCCTCCGCCGGCAGAACATGCGGGAACAAACAGGCATCTAAACCTGTGAGGCATGACCCTCTATGGGATCGCGACACTGGTTGTGGTGGGCACTGCAAAAACTTTGGCAACAGGGCAAGTTTCTGTAGTTCTCAGCACTCTACCATAGTGCACTCATGCTTTGCTTAAGGGGCCCAAGTTCAATCCCTGACACCCCTGGGAGCCAGGAGTGATCCCGAGCACAGAGCCAGGAGTGAGACGTGAGCACAGGTGAGTGAGGAAGGAAGGGAAGGAGGGAAGACTGAAGGGAGGGAGGAGGGAGAAGACAGGGAGGGAGGGAGGGAGGGAGGGAGGGAGGGAGGGAGGGAGGGAAGAGGGCCTTCAGACAGAGCAAATCCTGCACTATTTTTGGATAATGCCTAAACAGAGCAAATTGGGGATCAGCATCACCACCTGCTGGTGACCTGTGTGTGTGTGTGTGGGGGGGGGGGGGGGAAGCAGCTGCCACCATTCGGGGACCGAGAGGTCCTAAGGTCCCACGAGCTACACTCCTGCCTAGAGAAAGACCCCAAGTGGTCTAAAAGCCAAGGGCAGGCCTCCAACCCCCATGTGTGTACCCCAGAGCTCTGGGGAAGGGCTGATGCCAAGTCTCTGCTCCTTGGGGAGGGTCCCTACCCTCTTACCCTGTTTCCGTCTAAAGAACAATGAAACCAAGAGGGGAAATCTGAATCCCCGGCCCAGCGTAGGAGATGCCAGGCCCTGAGTCCCCACCTGAGGCACAAGGGGGACCCCAGCAGCGGGTAGGGAAGAACACTGACTCCCAGCAATACCAAGGTGCGGGGTCGGCTGGGCTCCTCCTGCCCCTGTTCCTCCCCCTGCCCCGGCGTCTGCACCCCCACCCCCACCAAATACCCAGCAGCTGGTGACACCGGCCAGGCTGGGCACTGAGCACCAGGCCTTACCGGCAGCCACGGGGCTGCCGGGGAGCTATACTTAGAAACCTGTGCGGGGCCGGGAGCCATCCATGCCAGCGTTGGTCAGACGGAGCGTGGAAACGCCAGGGCACTGGCGCCAGGATGGGGGCGCAGACGCAGGGCAGGCTGGACAGAAGGACGGGGCAGTGTACGGGAATCCACCCCTCATATCTGTGCAGCTGCTTTGGGTGACTTCAGGGGCTGCCTCCAAGGTCCACACACACTCTGCATCTGTGGGGTGGGCAGTGGCGCTCCCAGCTCCTACAGCAATTAAAGGGCCAGGTCCTGGGGAAATGTCCCCCAGAGGCCAGGAGTGGACACTGAGGAAGAATCCCGTGGTGGGGATGGAGGGTGGGACCCGGACGCCCCTCTGAGGCCAGGGCTGGCATGGCAGAGAGATCGGGGTGGAGAGGGGGGAGGGGGGAGCAGGGCTCCTCACTGCGAATCAGCAAAGGAGCCCCTGGCAGGTGCCTCTCTCTGCTGCTCCCGAGGGTCCAGTCTGGGGTAATGACCCATGTTCTGGGAGATGCAGGAAGGGCAGGGGCCCGGGCTGTCCCTGGAGGGCCGCACACAGCCTGGGGCACAGGTTTCGCTGTGGCTGGGGTCTGGGTGCAGCCTCTTGACTATGGTGTACCTGGGTCCCCAGATAAAGCCCCGCTCTAGGGAAGCCGGCCATGCCTGGGAGACAAAGTCCAGCTCTCTGATCCACCTGCTGGGCAGCAGGAAGGCAGACCCGAGCCTGGTCCTTGAACTTGGAGCTTGGGCACTGCCCGCCCCTCCCTGGGCTTCAGGTCCACCTCTGGGAGTGGGTTTGGCTGGAGCTGGGGCTCCCTCAGCCCGGACTGCTCACCACCTCTTACGAGGTTGGCTCCAGGGGGCTGGAGAGAACACCCCAGGGAAGGCACTTGCCGTTCACCTGTTCTGCCTCGTATGGCCCCTTCAGCCCTGCCATGAGTCACCCCTGAGCACAGAGCCAGGAGTAAGCACTGAGCACTGCCAGATTTGGTCCAAACCCAGAGGATCCTGAGGCACAGACCTGCCTTAAACTATCAATCCTAGTTTGGGGGCTGGAGGTCCAGGGCCTTAAGTCTGGCCGGAAAGCCAGGGCAGAGTGTGAGGATGTCCAGTCCAAAATGTGGGGGGCAGGTGGAGGGGACCAGGTGGGAAGGTGGGTGGAGGGACATTGGGGACACTGGTGGTGGGAAATGTACACTGGGGAAGGGGTGGGTGCTGGAACATTGCATGACTGAAACCCAATTGGGAACAACCTTGTAACTGTGTGTCTCAGGGTGATTTGAATAAAACCAAACCAAACAAAACACAAGGTGTGCCTGGGGGGGGCAGCTCTGGCCTGGCCTCCGGGGGCCGTACTTCCTGTCCTCTCTCAGGGAGGCCATCAGCCCACCGGCAGCCTGGCC